ATTATAGTAACACAAAGTGATCATATTAGGACAGCTTTCTCAACCTAACCATCAATAGACGTAATTCTCAATTTATGTGAATAATTTTATCACAAATTTTTTTTGTGATAAAATTCAGATTTTCCGACAAGTGTAAGTAAAATGGTTTAAATATGATCATAATTGGAAATAGAGGTAATTGTATTTCGTACTAAAATTTAATTTTAAAAATAAAGTAAACAATCATGCATCAAACAAATTGTCTTATCAAAGAGTTTATTTTTCAGGTGATAATGTCAACATTTATCGCTTCACTTTATAATTACCTCCGAAGATTACACTATTTGGGACGTAATTTTAGCGGGGCAGCTCATGTTGAAGTATGGTTTGGTGGTACAAAAATGTCTGTATCCGAATTACTTTATATTGTCGCAGAAGAATTTAATGTCAGTAAAATTATTTATTATTTTTGCGGGGAATGAAATGATTAACATTTTAAATGTTTATCTTTTTTTTTTAAAACCATTTCTATGGCATATAAATTAAAACTTTAATATTAACATGAATAAATAATTTATAAATTAAAATATATTACTTAAATGATAAGCAGTAAGCTTTCATTCATATATTGAGATTTGATTAAATTTATTATTAATCGAATGTTTTTTTAAAAGTACAAACATATGTGTTAATCCATTTTTCTCTTACATTTTAAATGTAAATGTTTCATAAACAAAAATATTTTAATTTGCTCTTCTTTTTTTTTCATCTTCTGATAAAAAATTAAACAAATATCGATAAATTATAAAATCGTTTTTATCTTTTTCTTAAAAAATTTTTATAGGTTTCACCAAAAATGCTCTATGAAGTACTGCGTGATTTGGATCATATAATTACGGAAGCAACAGATCCGAAAGTAAAATTAAGCATTGAAGAAATTCAAAATCGTCGTCGAGATCGAATTTCACGTACGGAAAATCGTGAATATATCAATAATGGTATTCGAATGGTAGAAATCAAAGATTCATTAAATCCACAAAATACACATGCAAGTTTTGCATTCAATTAAGATTGCTAATAAAATATGTAAATACTAAAAGTTATAAGTCTTTCCTTATTTGTATTGTTAATTTTAAATTGCCTTAATTTTCAGGTAATGATAAAAACTGACTCATCGAAATGCTTAAACAGAATTCCAGAATATCAACGTGAAAATGTATACAATTTTTCTTTATCGTTATGCACTTCAAAAAAAAAAAAAGTTGATGATGACAGTAATGAAAGTCTCATACGTGCGATATATTGAAGTATTTCATGATATCAGTCGTCAAATTATCTTAATTAATTTACTTAAAATTATCGTTCAAATTATTCTAAATAATTTACTTATTCTTTTTTTTTTCTGGATAGATTTTTAACTCTCGTTATCTGAAATACTAATATAACAATAACTGATCATAAAAACATTTTATTGGATGAAATTTAAGATAAAACCCCGAATTTTAATTATATTTGATATTGCGGAATAATTAATTAAAAATTAAAAAGGTATGCATAATTACAGGTAATGCAAGCACTTGGAATGTTTCATCATGTGGTGAAGACAAAATCAAATTTAACAAACAGAAGGCATTCCTCATCTGTCTTAACAAAGTTACATTACGTCAATAATCATTCTTCCTCTGATCAGCCAGGCTAACTTAAAGTTTGCTCGTGGAAATTAATGTAAATAATGGTTTTTATAAATTTTAACTTAATTTTGATATATAAATAAAATTACTAAACAACATTCTTTATTTCTTGAAGTGATGACCAAATTCATAATAATTAACGATAAAACATTATTGAATTGATAATTCTTTTTTTCAAATTTCCATCGATTGTTCATGTTTTTCCTTAATTTCTAAATTTATTCTGTATCATTCTTGTGTTTCCCGACGATAACAATTTAATTTTTCAATTTATATATATATCTTTAAGTGATACTGACCTGAACATTGTCCATTACATTATTCATTCGTATAAAATATCATTTCAGTATCTCATCAATTTTAATTTTCGGAATCAAATCCAATTAAGTAATAGCATCAATATCGAAAAGTCAGAGGAAATTTTTTTTTTTTTTGCAACAAACAAATGAAAATGAAAAGAGCAGTTTATTAATTATTAATAGGAAATGAATGTGGAAATCAGCAAATAAAATTATTTTCAACTGAAAATTAAGTTAAACTATCTTGCATTCTTTTGTCAAACTTCAATCAATACTTTTATTTTTATATACCAATTAATTAAATTTTCATGTTATTTGACAGTATGCTTGCAGTTAGATGTTAAATTAATTTTATTTTCCATCGCATATATGAATTGCTAAATTGGCATTATGTCAATAGCATATATGCTAATTGGCCAAATATTAACATTTATTTTTGATTAATAATAATGATAACTTTAGAGTTATCAGCAATCCTCATTTTATACCTATAGTACATATGCTAGCTAGTAGTTTGGAATTTTTTAAATTTAATTATTCATATCGTGTCAACATCTACGAGTTTATTTTAAGATTTCCCATCTCAATTTTGTTAACATAACTCCGTTAAAACTGGTCTAAACAGTATGATCTCTCTCTCTCTCTCTCTCTCTCTCTCTCTCTCTCTCTCTCTCTCTCTCTCTCTCTCTCTCCCTTGTTATATCACTATTTTTTTCCATTATATACCGTTCACTTTTCCTATGTGTAAACAATCTTCATTTTCCCAATAAAAAATTTGAAATATCACTGAAGTTGCAGCAATGCGAAATTGAAGAAAGATTCGGCTAACCTGAAAAACCTTTAATCCTCAAGAAATCTCAAGACTGAAAAACAATATGAAAGACAAAATATAAACAAGCTGAAATGGAAAGTATAGTAATCCCGACTAGTCAAAATTACAAAACCAATTGCAGAATAATTTTTAAAATCGTTAAAATTTGCACAAGAATAAATTTCAAAGATGAACATGAATGACAAAACATGGGTTATATAAGACGGATCGTCAACTTTCTTAGATCAGGAAAGATTTCGAATCACGTAACAAACTTCAAGACTTACGTAGTAAGCAAGCTTTAACATTTACGTAGAAGTTTCATATATCACGACATAATAAGAAAATTAGCCGAAATATATCATATCAATTTAGAAAGTTGAAAGTTTTGAGTTAGATCGAACAACCTGATGGTCCCGTGGTGTAGTGGTTAGCACTCAGGACTCTGAATCCTGCGACGAGAGTTCAAATCTCTCCGGGACCTGATGAGTTTCCCCTTTTGCTGTAGAATTACCAAAAAAAAGGTGAATTCGAAATTTGTTTCATGACTTGGCTACAAAATCACTTCATTGTCCGAAAATTCCTTTGATCCTCGACTTATACGTGGTTGTTTGAGTTATCATAGGCTTTACACACGTTATGTATGTGAAGAGTTATAATTGTTTAACCTTTGATCCAATTAATTTAAATATAGATATGCATGAAGCGAGAACCATAACATGCTCAAAACTACAAAAATGTTGGTTCCAACTGTTTACCGATGGTACTACCATTAGAACGTGTAAATAAGGCCGCTGTGCCTTTTCCAAATTTACAAAATATTACATTAGTGATGAACAGAAAACTGGCATGCAGGAGGAATACATAGTACCATTCCTCAGATAGGCTATTTGGTGTTAATAAAGTTACAATAAATGGTACTGTAAGCATAGCTATACACATTACCAGCTGAAATTTAAATTGTTTTTTTTTTTAATTATGCAAAAACTTCATTAGGATGAAGTTTTTGCATAATTTTTGAAAAGAATAGTTGTTCAATGGTTGGAAGAAATTATACACCGTTATACATTTTTGTAAAAATATCGTTTTTGTCGAAAATAGCACCGTAATACCATAAAATTTTAAATATTTAAGAAAAAATAAAACTTGAAATGTTTATACATTTTGGAATGAGAAATTTCTTAAAGAATTACCTGTACGATGGCATTAATAAAGTAACTGTACTGTCGACCTATCAATGTGGAACTTTTGAAAAAGCCACCCGCAAGAATTGTTGTTGAACTAATTAAGAAAATGAGTGCTAAAGTTGTTTGATTTGCTGGTGTATATGCCAGGGCAATAAGGAAAATAGCCATACCAAGGAATGCTATGGTATTAAATAAGCGAACCTAAAATGAAATTTAATTATTATTGTTTTTCTTAAAAATATGCTACAATTTTGTGTAACAAATAAAACCTCGAATCTTTCATTACTTCGAAATTATTAGTTGAAAAATTTTCAAATAAGTTTTTACTTCAATTTCAACTATAATTTCGCTCAATAAAACTGTTAAAAGCTCAAATCATATCATGTGTAAGTAATGCTATTAATACTTAAATCTACTAAACAAATTGAAATTAACCTTACTAGTTTCGCTAAGTGATGTAATTTTATCACTTGCATTACCAGCTAACATTTTTACTACAAATTGCAACAACGTTGGTAATGCTGCGTTAAACGAACGCTTACAATCGGTAAACCAAGCATCTCAAAATTTTTTAAATTTAAATTTAAATTTTAAAAAGGAACAGACAATTCCATTTTTCTTTTTCTTTGTTTAAAAATCACATTTAAAAATGATTTCAACCAAATATCATATCTTTTCCATCATTATCACAGTCTAAAGATGAAACTTAAGCTAACTTTACTTATATAAGTTGGCGGAAAAACAACGACCATTTGAATACTGTACATATTACCAACAGCTGCAATCCAAATGGCCCAAACAGATAATGTTTAGAAAATTTCTCAAATTGGTAGCTTAAAATATGATCACACTTGTATTTGTTATTTTTTAAATTTAATCAAATTTTTAGCTAATTATAATGCAATCTAATTTGACATTCATATTTTATTTTTTGAAATGTAAATTTTCACCGCAAATTAATCATAGTTGACGAACCTTTTCATCGTTTTGTTTTATCTTATTATCAGTTTTTCCATCACTTATCAAATTTAATTCATAAACAGAAATCCAACGAGCATCGCTCGGTTGATCTCTTTAATTACAACATATTTTTGCAATTATATAATTATATTAATATACACAAATATAACATTTGAAAAGAGGAACAAAAATTGTGGATAATATATAAAATTCTTGAAATATTATTTCAGTTTTCCTCTTTTCTTTTTAACATGAAATTTTTGAAAAAGAAAAAAAATATTATTCGAAATATTTTAATCGAAATACTAGGAATCAATAATATGGCTAAATGCGAAAATGAGTATTTCAGTGCTTTCTTTATTGAAGACCTTTATAAAATCCACCATAACACAAGAAATGCCAATGGTATTATCGCATGAACATAAAAAACAAATGGCCATCCTTGTCTTGTTGAACATAGAAAACCAGACATTGGCATTGTTATTACAGGGCCAAGCTTTAACAAATGAGAATGATTTAATTTCGATGAATAAAAATGAAATATTTAATAAAAATTTTCATAAAATAAATAAAAATGAAAGGAAAATATGAATGCGAGAGTGTATATAGGCGAAAAAATTTTGTGAGTTCGCCGGGCGTTGTGGCGAGCGCTTGTAATCCAAGTGACTGGGAGGCATGTGGTGGTGGATGGAGTGAGAGGAGGAGTCCTGGCTGGTGCTTGGCGGTGGCGACCGAGCGTCCAGGCCAAGCGTGGCGTCGACAAGGTATCGGGACAGGAGTGTCCTCCGGTACCTGGTCGTATAATGAGGGGCGTACGGCTCAGGGCCGAAAGGCAGCAGGCAAAAGTCCCCGCGTCATGACAGTGGCCGGATAGCGCTTGCGAGCCGTTGACATCAACCAGCCTTGTCAATACCTCCAGACCCATCCCTTTTTCTCTCTTCTTCAACTCTTCCTTTAGAAAGGGCAAAGGTTAAACTTCCCTCTAATTGCACGTCAATCACAGGCGAATGAATAATTGAAATGAATGCTGCATGCATTTTGGCATGTACAACAATTGATTGATATTATTGATTAGTTGAGTGCATGGTTAGTTCTACGTTAGGAAATCTAATGATTTTTAATATTGTAAACAAAATTTTCTTAAACTGATGGGATCATTTAATTTAATTACTTATTTAATTATTCCATATTTGTTCCGTTCTAATATTTATATAATCTTGTATTTTATTTCACTAACAAATTACTTATACTTTTTAAGTTTATTTTGAAAGTATTATTTTGATCATCCTAATGTTTGTTTAGTTTCATTGAAGAGATAGTGTTGTTATTGTTGTTGTTGAATTTTCATTTCCTTTAGATTATCATGTCAACCTTTATTATCATTTCTTTATCAGTCCAGATGTTGACAATTATAACGATAATAATTAAAAAGTGAAAAATTACAATGATTTTTTTTTTTGAATAAAAGAAGTCATGCTAATTAATCTGAATGAAAAAGAAGTATACTAATTAACCTGAATGAAACTCATAAGTGCTCCACTAAATAATCCGTTTTCGGTAAGTTTTGCCCAAGTTGATGTTACTGAATCAGTAAGTGGCATGCACGATGCAAATCCGATTCCTGAAACTTTAGCATGCTAGTAACTCTAATGAAATCTGCTATTTCCGGCAAATTGATTTTCTAAAAACTATCAAAATTGGTATAATTTCGATGTATTTTAAAAGAGTTTTAGAAAAATCTTGCAAAATTCGACTGATAGTCAAATAAATGACACCAAAGGACGCAGCTAAAGGACATAATGCCGTCGATATTCCGGAAATGACCATAACGATAGCAAATGTTTTTCTGAACTGATTTTTTTCAGAAATGAAACTGCGATGATTAAATTTCTAACTTAAAAGTTGCAAATTAAAATCCTCCTAATTTTATTTTTATATTTACTATAATCCAACGAACAATGAATCATATCCTCAAGAATTTTGAGATATTCCGGTTTGATAAAAATTCCGTTTCAATGAGTTTCAACGATGAGATTTTCTATTACCTTGTTCCGTAACGCTGAATGCTGAAACTTAAGCAAGCAATGCAACAGCTGCAAACAGGATAGACTGTTCACGTGGCGTATACGTGTAATCCGCTGCCTTCCGAATAAAACATTGACGATAGAAAATTGTGGCATTGGAATATATGGATAGAATTTCAATTTCCTGAAAATACCCGAGAAAAAAAAGCTATTTATAAAATTACAAACTTCTTTTCTCATTTTTTTAATTTATTGGTTTTAATTTCTACTTAAAAAATTTTTCCTTTTCTCTCTCGGATATTTTCCGGTAAAATCTGTTATTTCAACTATTGCTGACAATAATTATGTAAATTTTCCTAAATACAAATTCATTGATTCTTACACTCTTATCGTTTCAATTGTGTTTGTTTTCCCATAATCAGTTTTGTAGCAGTTTTTTTCTGCTATTTCTTAATATTTTAATATTAAATAAAAATTTAATCAATTTTTTCAACAGAAGGAAAATAAAGTTGCGAAATGATAGAAAAAAATGACAACAAGTTAGCAATTATTTATTCATTTTTTTGATTTCTTTATCGAAAAACAGGTTATTAAAATTAATTCCATAAATTAAAAAAAGGTGACATTGAGGAGTCAAGCAGCGTGGCGCAGTGGAAGCGTGCTGGGCCCATAACCCAGAGGTCGGTGGATCGAAACCACTCGCTGCTATGTGGTCAGGCCGCGATGTGCTATTGAGCGGTGCATTTTTGTCCAAACTTGATTTTGAAAAAACGTAATTTTATGAAAAAAAATAGAATGACGAAATGAAAGCAATTTAGGTAATTGAATAATTACTACGGAGAAATTTCGTTAATTTTATTTGAAAAATTAAAATGAAATGGATATAAATCACCTGCGGTGAAATATTACCAAACTGTTTGTATTGTTAATTGAATGATTGTGATTTATTTGTCAGAGACATTGCTATAGCACGCGGTATTGATTGATTGGAATAATTTTCAGATTTTAAATCCTACAGATTTAAAATAAATTAAAAAATAAATAAATAAAACAGCAAATTAATAACTGTTATTTTTATCAAATAAATCCTATCAGTTCAATAAAAAATTAGTTTTCGGAAAAAATCTGCATGTTATAAATTAAAATTTGAGTAGCACTTAATGTTTTAAACAATTAATTAAATCGATATCTTCGAACTTCCATTTAGTTTCGCCATTATAATATTTCCATTCATGTAATCATAGCTGTCAGCAGTCATACAGATTATGCAAAAAATTGTATGTAAGCATATTAGCCATCATCATTGATAGACAAATGATTGTGAGAAATAAAATAATTATCCGGTAACTAATCATTATTATCTGAAAATTATGATTATTTAACTGCAAATTATTTTAAATGGAATTAGAACAATTTACGTATAAAATGAAATGTGAATGAATGAAATAGTCATTGTTATTGTTTTAATTTTATGTAAATTATGATAAAGTACATATATTTAAAATATTTGGCCCAAAAAAGGTTATCAATCAATCATTCCATTCCGTGTTTCTTATCTCTTATTACATACAATAATATCTGAAATTTCCATTAAAACTTACACCAAAATGAGCACAACAAACAAATCAGATACGACAATTCAGAATTATTCTTTCCTCATTTCAAAATGCAGACAATATATTGAAATGTTTTTTTTGATGAAACAAAAAAAGCAAATGAAAAAGAAAAAAATTTTAAGAGTAAATATCAATTAACAATTGTAAACCAATCTCACTATTATTATCATTATCAATTTCCGATTTATAAAACCGATAGAATGTTTACGTAACGAATAAGTAATTATTAAATGTTTGAAATATGCATTAATTCATTTCGTTTTTCATTCCCGTTTATCGATAACAACAATACATTACGGAATGAATATTCTCTCCTTTCTCTCTCTTTCTCTCTCCCTCTTTCTCAAACAAGATATTTACAGTACAAATAACTGTGGTGCCAGGATGTGACGCGACGTAACGTGACGTAAATGAGAAGACGACTTGTGTAAAATTGATGCAATAAAAAAATAATTGTCCATTAAGCAATGCTTTCTTCTTTCCAAATACTATTTTTTTTCGTGATATTTTTCTCTTCCTCCAACTAATTATCTCTGCATTTTGCATTTTATTTATTGTAAAATGTACATTGAAGGAATATTTTAATGGAAAAAATAGTTCAAAAATAATAAATAAATAAAATTCCATGGAATTATTTGTTCAGAAAGATTTTTGGATGCTAACCATGAATTTAAATGTGTTATTTCAATTTTTGTATTAACATTTGAAAAATTTTGCTATTCCTATGACCATAGACTGAATAATTGAATTTGAATCGTAAATTTCATTAAGCTAAAAAGAAAAAAATTGTGCAATTAAAAATCAGATTATCAATATAAGGAAAATTTCTCTTTCTAATAAACAAATATGTAAATTACAGACAGCATTTCTTTTATTTACAAATTTGTATAAACTATTTTTTTTTTTAAATTTCTGTTAAAGTATGAAATATTGACTGTAAAATCATTTTCTATATGTTTCATCCATTCGGTACGGTTGGTTCGTTCAGATTTTGCTTTCATCTATTCTGGCAAAGGTCGTGTTGGCTATACTGCTAAGGATCTGGGCAACAGATCAAGATATTTTCTAAAATTTCAATCTGAAATTAACTGGAATTGTTTAAAGCTATAAACGTAATGCAAATACGAGGATTAAAATTGATTTTGATTGTCGCAATGGTTCTGGTAGTATTATTCGTACGGAATATCAGAAATTAAAATCCTAAATGCAGAATATCAAATCTTTAACTGTTTAAGATTAACTGGTCTTTTTACTTTTTTTTTTCTCTCTATTTTCATCCTCAATTATATAAACTTCTTTTATTTACAAATTTTTTATTTTCACAAATTTGAATTTTTTGTATTTATAAATTTGAATAAATCTTACGAAATTAATGGAATTGGCAGGAATTGATGTCCGGCGAGAATTCGTTACCATTTTTTCATGGTGCTTTATTGGATGATGACGTCGATAAACTGCTAGAATTAAATGGTGATTTTTTATTACAAACCAAATTTGAACAAAGTAAAAAAAAAAGCAAATTGGTATTGGCTATTAAGCACGGACAACGAACAATAAGAGTACCAATTTCACGACTGGAAAAAGGATATCGCATATTTGTACGTGTAAAAATTATGTTTGAAATTTTTAATTTTTCTTTAAATTGAACAAATTTTTAAAGGAAATTTTATAAAGAAAAATCATTTTACCATTTTTTAAATAATACTATATTAGTATCAGTCTTTCAAATTCATTCTTTTTTTTTTGTTACTCTATTTTAAAAACCATGAAATGATTAATTTTTGATTTTGAACGAGGAACAGAAGAATAAATACTTTAGGGACGTTCATTCCCAACAATGAATACATTAATAAAATATTATCAAGAACATAACATCGAAATGCATGGGACTGATTCCTTGTTCTTGAAGAGACCAATAAAGAAAGGAAGATTTGAGCTGAACCATTCCGATATTAAAATTATGAAAAAGGTTGAAAATCTAATAATTAAAAAGAAAAAAAAATCCAAACTTTTATTTATATTAAAATAAAGTTAAGCAATGAAATTAATTATCAAAACAGGAAATGTCAAATATAAATTAATCAATACAGATTGGTTATGGAGCATATGGTACGGTATATAAAGGTGTATTACTAAAAAATCTTTGTCCGGTAGCAATCAAACGGATCGATTGTGCAGACAAATCCGAGCAGGCCTTAATTGACCTAATGAAAGAGGCACGCGTGATGCAATTATATGATCATATCAATGTTGTTAAATTTTATGGTTTCATCGTAGACAGGGAACCATTTTTACTCGTTATGGAATACTGCAAGGCATGTGATTTAATAATTCGTTTTTTTAGAAAATTTTCCAATTTTTCAATTTCGAATGAAACATCCACCGATTTAAATAGATGAAAAGGTTTATTTTTCATATCAGTTAGTTTTATTTTTGAAATGCACAATCAATTTTCAGGATGGATCGGTAGAAGATAAATTGAGGCAATATGGTCATCATTTAAGTGTTGATTCACGTATTGATATATCATGTCAAATTGCGCGTGGTCTCGAATACCTTCATATGAAAGGTTGCATTCATCGGTAAGATAAAAAAATGTCGTAATGT